GGGATTTACTTCACTCCTTGTCATTACGGTAGGGATGTTAGCGATTGCAGCCTATTCTTGCGTAAAGAAGTTTTGATTTTCGCCTAGTGGTCTATCCACGGTAACGACCCTCAACCGTAAGATATTGAAATCCAAGTGAAAATCTGCTCAGCACAGCAAGTTAAGGCTTAAAATGCAGCGTAACGCCAGTTCGGGACTAATAAAAAAAATCACGTTCCGATGACTGATCAACCACTCAGATGGTGGTACATACTTTCCCTCGCTTTTATCCAGGATTCCAGTCATGAGGTTTCTCGATGGCCACTCTCACTATCTATCCTTGAATTTGGGAGGCTCCCGGAGGTCTCTGAACCTGTGAGAAATGCTTGCGCGTCACCTCTTCCGACGGAGGTCTGGATGGCAACAGGATTCCAGTCATGAGGTTTCTCGATGGCCACTCTCCTGCACTATCCTTGAATTTGGGAGGCTCCCGGAGGTCTCTGAACCTATGAGAAATGCTTGCGCGTCACCTCTTCCGACAGAGGTCAAGATGGATGGCAAACTTGTGTTACTTTTGACGGTAGGCCTTGTAGAGAAACGTACATTCTCGCGTATTCACCCACTTTCTTGCAGCGTCCGTCACGAAGAGATTGAACCTTACCGTGTGACAGTTTGCGAACCTCCGTGACCCGTTGGGCACTACTGGGGGTATCTGTCGGAGTGAGATGGCTCACTAATTTTCGAACCGGAATGTCCGTGGTTCGAATCCGACCTCTGCTTCTCGACTTCCCCTATCTAGGTTTGGACAACCTGGCAGTATCCTAGCCCTCGTGCCTCCTTCCGGTGTCATGGCAGTTAAGCACCGAAAAGCTGCTACAGCTGAACGGGGGTGTCTGTGTGACACTCAGAGCTTCTCATATCAGACTTGTCAGTGATCAGAGTTCTGAGCAACATAGTCCCCTAGTCCTCAAAATCTGGGTTGAAACATTTTAAGCACCGAAAAGCTGCTACAGCTGAACTGGGGCGTCTGTGTGACACTCAGAGCTTCTCATACCAGACTTGTCAGTGATCAGAGTTCTGAGTAACATAGTCTCCTAGTCCTCAAAATCTGGGTTGAAACATGTGTAGCGACCTGTCCCTTAAAAACGGCAATAAGCTTTCGTACACTATAAATACCGTTCCCCTGCGGTCAGGCTGTTGAGCCACAGGCCCCGATCAAACACCCTAATCGTCCTCCTTTTGAGGTGTGGGCTCTCTAGCAGTATCCTGGCCCACGTACAACTGCGATTCCTACAACCAACAGTACTTTCGTGCCGCACCGGCTGTCGCATGAAGTCACCAGCCTTACTTGCTAGCAAGCGAAAACAAGCTACTGCTGACACATCCCCTCTTTCCCTCTCGCATGCTTTTTGTTATTCTCTCTCATCCCATTACTAACCCTCCCCTTGTGGGCACATTTTTGAGCACTGAAAATCCCCTTCGTCTTCACCGGTTGTGGCCTCACTATCTGCGCTTCAGTCGGTGCCGACAGCCTCAGGCATCTCAAGCATTGACACTTGGTCCGTTTGGCTCTTTTACTGCTCTTACTCCGAAGCACGCAGGACGACAAGGTATTCTTGCTCTCACACTGGACTCACTTGACATTTAAGTGTGCTGCGTATCAGAAACAAAAGTTAAAGATACAAGCACACGTGTTGGGCTAGCTGTCCCATCACTTTCCACTCGCTTCTGGCTGCGCATCTCTGGCGATCCAGAGGCCACTGCGGCAGGATATGTAGGGGTCGGTATCATCCTAAGCCACTGGATACCTGTTGATAGCCGTCTCTGTCCGGCTCGTCTGACAACATCCATGCGGGAATCTCACAAGGGGGATGTGCGGTGGGAAGGGGTTGGGGAGGGACATCGGTGGACGCTGAACTGCGCGGGCAAATGATACTTCCCGGTTGTTCAGGCCGAGGAAGGGGGTTTGGTTGAGGTACCCCACCTTGAGCCTTCGACTCAAAGGGCTCTTTTCGCACAACAACGTGAAGGGTGGAAGAGAGCCAGAGGCGGTCAAACAATGACTTGGCGGCGAAGTATAAAAGCCATTGCCAGCTAACTCAGGTGCGCTGGTCATTGCCGTCTTCCGGGATGGGGACCCCGAGACGGGCCACATCAATGATTAGAGACATTGTCAGATATGGCCCAGTCGCGCCCGCAATGGGGCTCGTGCATCCAAGCTATTGCCTTCAATGCATAGCTCCTTTTCCAACCCCCCTTCCCTTGACAGCCCACTGACAGTGCTGGATTTATGCACCAATTTATCAGCTCCCGCCTGGAATGCGCAGTTACCTACCCCCACCCCCAAATCATCGGCGAACGAAACTGCGGCAGCTACAACCATTGTACGACGAGTACGCGGTTCTTACAGCTGACGATGATGATGATTATGTTGACAAGGGGGATGTTAATCGCCATCTGTTAATTGTGTCTGCTTGCGTGCCAACCGAGTGTATCTCTGGTACCATCAAAGACAAGCTTTATAACGCCCTGGATACCCTGTTATGGCGAGCTAATATCGGATAACGTTCTGTTTGTTGAATGTCTAGATACACGCGTCGGCAGAATTAGCGCATCTGAGGCTCATTTAGGTAGCCGACATGGATTGGACTTGGTACACATGAACAACGGTGAACGATTGTTCCAGGTGTTTACCGACCACAGGCTGTTTTTATGCAATATTGACTTCAGAAATAACGCGGTCGTCTGGCTACGTGGTGTCCTCTAACAGCGTGCCAGCCACGGACCCATATCGATCAAATCGGCATCGGCAACTAATGGCGTAGACAAATAACTGATTACTGCTAATTATGGATCACATTTGTATATTCCGACCACATGCTCGTCTGGATTCACCTCTTCATATTCTAGGGTCACACAAGGGGCGGACGAATCGCCTATCAACTGAGTGCCTGGCAGATTCGGATGATAGACGAATTTATCGCCACTGCTTGAATCTGAGAGGAACATCCCGGCCGGCCCCGAATATAATTTGGCCCGAAGAACTATCCGACGTTAAGTGAAAGTGAGCGTGCACACAGTCCGTGAAGTTTGATGGACTCGGAAGGCTAAAGAAATCGAAGAGGCCCGGAACGCCGTGAATGTCCGAAGATTATTTTAGTTGACCGGTGCGACTGGCCCCCCAGAAACCGCCTGTGATCGAAACCATCAAGGGTCGGAATGGAGCGACTATCTTTGGTAAAGAAGAAATATGTATGAATTCGTCGTCGATATATTTCTGTGCTTCAGTGGTGTAAAAGATTAGATGGGGCGGGAGGTAGTGAGTTGAATTAATGTTACTGTTAAAACCACGGATGCCGCTGAGCGAGGCTGTGAATTCTAGAGAGTATCGGTGGGCAGTTATTTGTTTGATAGATCACAAACCGGCATCTCATCCCAGGGAATTCGATTGATGAATCACATGAGGCTACCATAGTCTGGGCCGTAGCACTTCCATTGACGGAAGCGTCACCTTTGAATAACGGAACGTTATAACTACGAATCGGTGTGAATGGCACTTATTCGCCTGAACTCCATACTGTGATATGATCGCAGTCTTCACTCATGAGCACGCTCTCACATAGCTCTTGACCGTCCGTTCAAAAATAGTCGTTCCCGAACTATACCGAAGAAAACATCCAAAATAATGCCTAATCGATGAGAGCTCCAAAGATAATCCTTCAGTACCCAGCTTTGTTTACATCCATCCATCTTGTATTATTTCCCCTATGCTCGTTTTGTTGCTAAAGTCGATTTTCATTAATGATGAGGTAGTGATTCTAGTGTATTAGAGTTCATTTCATTTCGTCTTCCAGCCTGACCCCTTTCTGATGCGACGAAGAAGCCAGCGCCTGGATCAACAGTCAGCTGAATCACCAGTCACAACTGTATCAATCAACAGTTCTCCATACTTCTCCGATCGTCAGGTCAAATGCGATCGTCCAGTTGAAGATAGCGGTGAGACAGACCAACGTGTGAAGCAAATACGCAAAACCTTCAGACCTCAACAGAAGCAGAGTGGCCGTAACAGGAAGGCACGATCGACAAAAACTCCACGGAGCCCTTCCGATGAAACGAATTCGGATTCGGATCATCCAGAACATTCATCTGAGGAATGGCGACCTGCTGAGTCTCAGTCAGAGGCGAGTCTGGAGGACTTTACCCAACAGTCGATTCGAATGAACACACCGGCCAACAAATCTTCAGTAAGAGGCACGAGTACCGGCTCTCGCAACAGACAGTGTCCAAGTAAACGAACAACAAAGAAGCGTCCATCCGCGCAGTTGGAATCACTTTGTCACAAGTTAAGTGATTCTGATGGAGAACAGCGCGAGAATAGTTCCGAGAGTTCACGTCNTCCGAGGAGTTCACGTCAATAAAGTCTGAGCGGTTCAAGGGACGAAATGCAGGTAACTTGTTACTTTTTTCGCAATCCAGGCCTCGCAGTAACAAACGCAGGATTACCCGAAAACCATCAATTCAGCAGAGTTCAGAAGACGATGGACAAGCCACAGACTCAGCTGAGGATGGTGAATGGGAAGAAGTCGATGATAAAGTAGTCAGAGAAGTTGATTTCATGCAAACTTTGCTGGCTGCCAAATCAGAGATGCCAAATATGTCCTTCGTCGACCATGAACCTGCAGCATTAACTGTTTCCGTGCCAACATGTGCTTCCTCTAAGAAGTCCTCAAGCAAAAATCCTGTGCAAGCTGAACGACAGGCTCGTTTACGGAAGCTGAAAGAGGAAGCATATTCCATGCACCTCACCCATGTTTTGTCTTTTTTGACTCATGCGCGATGGCTTAATCTGCTATGTGATAATAAGCTTTATCGAGCATTGGGTCTATCGCTTTTGGACCGGGTCGATTCGGCCATGGACTCTTCGGGATGCTTTCTCCCCCCAACAATGTGGAGTTTGGATATTCTGCACGCATGTATGGTTGCGATTATGACGCGACACTGCTTAGTGGATGATAGCAATAAGGATGCATCCCATAGAAGTGCATTATTAGTGAAGCGGATCACAGATGGTTGTGCATCTCGAAGGGATTGCCTTATTTTGTTGGTCAGTGCTTTACGCGCGTTGGATTTTGATGTACGGCTCGTTGTTGGCCTCACACCACTTGCTTTAAAACCCACGGATTCTCATAATGAAGTGCACCCTTCTCCAGAGGCTGTTCAGGATAAAATGCACAAGCATACGAGCGAGAAAACGAGAAATCGGAGGATTATTTCTTCTTCTTCCGAAGATCTTGACTTTGTACCCTCTCAATCACGAATAAACGGAATCCAGCCCGAGATCCATACGTTTGCAGAAGTCTTTATTGCTAAAGAAAACCGTTGGGTATGTGTGGATATGACTCCGCCATTAGGCCGTTTGGACGAACCGCAGACAGAATCTTCAATGCTATACGTTGTCGGACTGACGACCTGTTGTTCATCATCGCCTAATACCAGACCGTACGTGGATCGAAGCCCGGTAGACCTTGCTTCACGCTACGACCCTAAATGGTGCGATAAGTCTCGGTATGACCGCCTGTCGGATGATAAATGGCTCCAACTTCTCAGCCACATGCGGCATTACTTCAACTGGGATGCCGCACTACGTGGTGGCAGTTTAGTTCCGCGAGAAAATGATTTGATCACTGTGAAGCGGGATGTTGACGACGAAAACCGGATCCGTTCTTTGTTGTTGTCCAAACCTCTACCTACACGCGTTCAGGACTTTAAGAACCATCCCCTGTATGCATTACAACGACATTTGCTCAAATTCGAAGTTATTCATCCACCTGATGCAATTCCTTTGGGTTTTTTGCGTAACGAACCAGTCTACTCTCGGGATTGTGTGCATCTCTGTCATACACGAGAGTCGTGGTTGAAGGAAGCAAAGGTTAGTTGGCCGAATATACCCAACACAGTTTTCTTAATTTTAGTCCTTTTTCCTCACTTGACAGAAGCTACGACAACCTGATATTGTCATATCTGTGGTCTGTTTTATAGGTCAGGCACCTCGGACTACAGCTGAACGATTTTTTTTACCTCGGACTACAAATAGACCTGCCGTTATGTATAATCTCTTGTTTAGTCAGTGCAATTATACCCATCGTACAAATGGTCTGTCAGACTGGGTGACCTTAAAACGAGTATTTGTCGTTGGAAACTTTACCTCTGACCTTGTCGTTCTTCCCTAATCACGCAAGAGGCAGAGTTCGTCCCGGGTGGTGTTTTGACCGCATTATTGGGATGCCATGTGAAACTAAGTTTCTTGACTTCAAAATTATGCTTCTTTAGTTCTGTCAGTGCTTTTAGCTACACTTACTCATCAGGAGATTCTCCAGAGGTTTGTAAGCTTAATTCAGTCCTTATTCTTCCATGCTCAGATGAGTCGAGTTAGATGACTTGGTCAGACAGGACTTAAAACCAAGATCATAGCCTCTTTAACCAGCTTCCATCCCAATTCTAACCAGTCTTCGTCATTATCATGTCTGTACGTTCCCAGTAGCTTTCTGGACAGGTCAGCTGGATACTCTTGAGATACTAAAACTTGTTGAAGTTGATGGACAGATTTGCTGTGCTTAGGTACGTGTAATGCTGACGGAAAACGAAGTGGTTGCAGAGCACGCCCAATTTCTTGATAGCAGTTAGGTTTTACAGTCCAGAAAAACGACACTCTTGAAGTGAACTTGTCCATCAGTAACTGATACCCATATGGTCTAACTGAGTCCATGACTAACCTGCAGTTGTCAAAAGTTCCTACTGACCAGGTACAGACGATGATCAGCACACATCTTAAGAAGTCGCTCCGTATCATCTGCCTGCTGCATACCACTAAGAATCAGCCACCCAACAGTGTTCCCCCCAGGTTCACTGGTCTAAATTCGAGTATCATATCCCTCGCCTGGTTGACTATATCAGTTCTAATTGCTCAACGAAACAGTCCGGTCAGATCTCATTAAAGCCCGTATTTCTCTGTCGTTCAGACCTGTAGTCTGTCGGGGTGTATGCTGCTACAACGAATAAATACTGTTTCCCGCAGGGACCATGATTGATGTTAATTGAGCCAGACAACCGTACAGTCCCAAGAGGACTGTTTTCTGGCATCCAGGCCAATAAGGCGCTTTCAGCCTTCCGACTGAGTGCGACTCACACTGTTTATACAACGAGCCATTGCGTCGGGATCACTGGGTACACAAAGAGTGAAATGGGAAACATCGGAACTCCCTGTTTATACAACGAGCCATTGCGTCGGGATCACTGGGTACACAAAGAGTGAAACGGGAAACATCGGAAATTCTCCTAAGCGGCTTAAGGTGCACGACCGAAGTGAGAAACAGCATAAATCGGCAGGGGAAAAAGGCTTCAGCAAGAAGTGCCTGTCACCCAGTTTGGCAGTGTATGGACATTGAAGACTGCAATGTGGATAAGATCTTTTGAACCCCCACCTAAAACTGCCACCTGACTGTGATAGTCGGCCCTGATTGCTACGGCGATCTAGCGGGCTACACTGGCAGGTGCAACCAGCCCTGGCGATCTATCTGATTTCTACGGCGATCTAGCGGGCTACACTGGCAAGGTGCAACCAGCCCAAAGGCCAATGCGTAATCGTATTGTGAGACGGTCTGGGGGCAAAGTCTTACTGTCATCCGCGATGTGCGTTTGAAGGCAGTAAGTCGTTCCTCCCAGGCGACCAGCATTCGCATATTCATGGAAGCAGCGATGCTGCCTTCCTCTCTTGAAGGACGAGTTAAAAAAATATTGACCCTAAAATCTGCACACCCATCGTCCAATAGTTGATCGTGACCGATGTAGCATTACTGAATACTGTCGAAATAGTTTTAAAACCAGAGCCTTGCGCTGTGTACAGTCGCATCAGGAGTGAGACAATAATCCCTTACTCTTTGCACCCTCGGGTTAGGCCAACACCCTAAAGCCGAGCAGGTCAGACTATTGAGTCATGGGCTCCGGGGGAGTGTTTCCAAAGAAAACCCTACTGTCCACTGGCTCGCGGATCATACTTTCGAATCGGAGGCTGGGGGCAGTATCCCCGAAGAGAATTCTACATCCTCCCACTGCCTCATGGGCCAGACTCATGAGTCGAAGGCTCAAGTTAGGGTACCTCAGTCAAACACCCTTCCTCGGCCTGGGCAACCGGAAAGTATCATTTGCCCTCCTAGTTCTGTGTCCACCGATGTCCCCCCAACCTCTTCCCACCACACAAGCAAACGTTGCTGGGTCATTTGACTGTCAGTTATCTGACCGATGTTCTTTATACACTCCACTGCCTATTAACAATAAACAAAATAACACCTTTCTAAATCCACGAGATCCTTTCTACATAGGGGTTTTTAACTACCTTACTCTGCGTCGAATTGGCAAGTGTTCCTGGGACCTTATACTCCCTTACAATGTGGTGTGTCCCCATCTGTACGTTCGGTGACCAAGAAGCGATGACTCTTGGAGTATATGGCGTGGAAGTTGCACTTAGTCCCAGAGCTGAACGCGCTTTGTTGGATTGGATCCCAATGAACAGTCGTCTTTGCGCTGTCCGGCTATCCATTTCAGTCAAGCTCAATGCCTCGGCATAAAAGCGGTGCCTGTTTGTAGTGTCGGCATATGCCCCAACGGACTTCAGTTCTGAGGCGGATAAGTATGATTTCTATCGAGAGCTACCCGGGCTCATTCTTCAAGCAATATGCACTGACATTGCGATCATTGCAGGCGATCTGAATTTCAGTTAGGTCCTCTGAGCTCACCACACAGAAAACGGAGATGGATTCCTTCAGTGAAATTTTTGTAGCAAGTACGAACTTTCAACGTAAACGTTCGCATCGCGTAACCTGGCCACCATGAACTGCTAATCAACCGAGGATCCAGTTGAACCACGTGGGCATCTGCCACCGGGTGAGTGCCACAATTCAAAACTGCCGTTCCTTCTGGGGCACACCATTTGATTCCGATCACGCCATGGTGCGTGCACGCCTGAGAGTTTGCTTCTCTTCAGGCCGTCGCAAGTCAGCAAGTAGCATGTCAATGCACTATCTTCGAAGAACTACCAAAGCTCAGCAGTATCGATCTGATCGGGCCCAACAACTCTCCACAGTAAACCAATAATGTGGTGGCAGTGAGCATGTGGTTGAAGCGTGGCAAGGTGTGAAAGGAGCTATGTTAGCGGCGTTCAGTGCTGTCTGTCCGACTTCTCCAATTCGACCACAAGACCAGTGGATGTCATCGAGATCGATATCCATGACTGATGCCAGGAAAGCTCTACCAGCAGGCAACGAGTTCGACGTCACACGCAAATCCCTCAAATGCCAAATAGCGAAGAGCTTAAGGAAAGACCGAGAGCTCTGGTGGACATCGGAAGCTCGGGAGATGGAGAAGGCTTTTGCTACGGGAGAAAGCCGTGCCCTATATCAACTGATACGATCGACTGACCGTAGGAAGGCGACGGTCAGTGAAACGATTAGTGAAAAAGATGGCTCATTAATTCACTCGTCAAAATGTCCACTGGAAAGATGGGCCAAAGACTTCGAAGAGCAGTTCATCTGGCCTCTTGCAACACAACCTGTGGAGGTAATGCACACGGGCGAGTGGAAGAGGAAATAAGGTACGAAATAGTCTTACTAAAACATGAGAAGGCACCACACCGGACGGTCCGTATCCAGCCTTCTTCAAAGAAGACGGAAAATTCCTGTTGACCTATCTGACAAAGTCCATTAGTGCATTAGGGAATGAAGAAAAGGTACTTGCAGAATTGGACAAGTCGACAGTCGTTCTTATCTTCAAAAAGGGTACGCGGACGCTGTGTGAAAGCCACCGTTGCACCAGCCTGTTAGACGCGGTATCTGAGGTGCTCTCTGGCCTTATCTTTCGAAGGTTGACTGAACACAGGGAGAGACATATCCGTGAAAAGCAATCTAATTTCCGTCGTGCAAGAGGTTGTATCAATCGTACCTTCACCCTTCGACAGATTCTTGAACAGCGATACTACTTCCGACAGCCAACAATCGTTGTTTTTTTTTATCTGAAAGCTGCCTCTGACCCTGTGGACCGTCAGGCACTGGCAGTGTCTGTGGATCATAAATCTTTGACCCTCCTTAAGGCGCTGTACGCCAACTCTCGCGGCCCTGTGAAGGTTTACGGGAGGCTGCCATCTGAGCTCAACTCATGGAGTGGTATCCGTCAGGGCTGTCTTCTTTCACCTTTTCTCTTCAACTTCGTCATCGATGCGATCATGAAAGACTCACTACCAGCCTCTAATGTTTGTGGGGTCGAAGTGCTCCCGGGGCGTCCGCTTACAGATATCGAGTACGCAGATGACATAGCTCTTCTTGGATCTGACCCCATGGTAATACAAACAATATTAAATAATCCAAATAATTCTGCCTCACGATTCGGTATGCGCTTCACACCTGCAAAGTGTAAATTGCTACTGCAAGACTGGGTGGCTCGAACCCTAGCCTCATGCTTGCCGATGAACCGATTGAGGTAGTAGACAAGTACATGGGCGGCTGTATCAGTCCCTGCAGTCTCGCGAAAGATGATATTTCCATCCGTATTGGGAAGGCCAGAGCAGCTTTTGTGAACCTACGTCACCTGTGACATCAGCTTCTCTGTCAAGGGTCGAGTTTACAATGCTGCGGTGCGCTCCATATTATTGCGCGGATCAGAAACCTGGCCGCTGCTCGCCGAGGACGTGTTTGACCATGGATGTCTTAAGGGCATTGCCCGAATCTGGTGTGAACATCGGATCTGCAGTGCTGAAGTACATCGAATGGTATTCGGGAGAAATAACTCACTCTCACGTGCTTCGTATGCCACTCGACCGACTTCCTCGAAGGGATCTTTTCGCACAATCACGTGAAGGGTGAAAGAGAGCCAATGACTGTTAAACGGTGACTTGGCAGCGAAGTATGAAAGCCATTACCAGCTAACTCAGTTGCGCTGGTCATTGCCGTCTTCCTGGATTGGGACCCCGAAACGGTCCATGTCAACGGTTCGAGACATTGTCAGACATGGCCCAGTCGTGCCCTCAATGGCGCTCATGCATCCAAGCTACTGTCTTCAATGCATAGCTCCCTTTTTAATGCCCCCACTTAACAGTCCACCTACACTGCTGTATTTACGGACTAATTTATCATCTCCCACCCCACCTTCCCGAATCATTGATGAACGAAACTGTCGCAGCCACAGCCACTGCACAAGTACGCAGTTATTACAGATGACGATGAGGGGATGATGGATGTTACCTAAAGTTTTGGTGCTGTTCCTTTGCACTCTTCCCGTTCAAATTCGTCGTTGATGTATTTATGGAAGACTCAGTTTCAGTCCTCACTTTTGTTTGAGGCGAAGTGCTCCCAGGGCATTCGATCACACATATCAGGTATGCAGACGACGTAGCTTTCCTTGGATCTGATCCCATTGTAATATAAACGATATTAAATAACCTAAATAATCCCGCCTCACGATTCTGTATGCGCTTCACACCTGCAAAGTGTAAAGTGCTGCTGCAAGACTGGGTTGGATCAAACCCAAAGCCCATGCTTGCAGACGAGCCAATCGACATGCTAGATAAATATTTTCACCTGTATAAGCTCCAGTAGACTGGCTGGAGATGAGGTTATCTCTCCAATCGGAAGACTAGGGCAGCTTTTGCCAACCTCTGACACCTATTGCGCCGACGTGACTTCAGTTTTTCTATCAGTGGAAGAGTTTCCACTGCAACAATGCGATCCATACCTCTACGCGCAGATGACGTACGAAAAATGCCAGTCTTTAACAGTCTGTGTCCGAAGTGTTGGTCGAGTCTAGTGGGAAAAGCATATTAGCAATGCTGAGATACGCTGAAGAGGGAACTCGCCCGCGATAGATGAGTTGCTCACACTTCATAGGTTGCGCTGGTTGCGTCATGTACTCCGCGTGCCAGAAGGCCGTCTGTCTCACAGAGCTCTTTTCGCCCGGTCCCGTGCTGAGTGGAAGCAAACGAGAGGAGCACAGTGTACGACCTGGCGACAAAGTTTGAAAACACTAACCGGTAAACTTAGTCGGGTCGACATCTACCGCCTCCATGGATAGGGATCCCGGGGCTCAACTTACCAATGATTTATAGATGATAAATTGGTTGATGGAACGAGCTGAATTTCAGCCGATGTAGCCCGCAGTTCCATTATAGCACTTAAGCCCACCCCCCCCCCAAGACGAGGTGATAGTTTTAGGTTGTGCGACAGTTAAGAGGTATTGCTGTTATTAGCTATCCGTACGCAAGAGATCTTTTAAAATCGCCAAGTGGTGCGTAAATATACTACGACTACCGAATCGATAGACCAATGAAATGGCCTTGGAAGAGCTCAAATGGAGTCGTATGGTTTGTAGTGTCAGTTCTAATTCCTCGCCCTTCAGTGCATTGGTCTTTCCTTCCATTAGGCATGCACAGATAGGCCTGCTTTCCCAAACTATTCTAAACAACTCTATTCTATCCAGGTTGTGCGTCCCCATGAGAAACCTGCAAAGACTGTCAAGGCCCGTATGTCGATGAAACGCAAACTCCTCCAAGGCTCAGATCCGACCCCACCTACTGTTGATATTTACGGCTCTTGGCAAGTTGAAGATTATCAACCTCCGGTGGCACAAGACGGTGTTGTACCACGAAATGAACATGGGACTATCGATCTGTTCAAACCAAGCATGCTTCCCATCGGATGTGCACATCTTTGCCTCACCGGTAAATTAAATCCCCTAGCTCTCCTGTTAGAGTGGCTTCTCTAATGATCTGGTTTCATACCCGAACAAATGATGTTGCAAGGTCGCTCATTGACTGATATTTTGACACTCCAAAGTGCATGCCGACTGAAATTTGGTTCATCATTACCTTCAGAAAAAATCCAGTAAACAGGAGGCGGCGAGCTCTTTGATTATTACGGATTCCAGACACTTTGGTGACACTTTTTAATAATAGGGATGCTACTATTGAAAGACCTTCTAAGGGGTCACCAGTATGGTCGTTTCATGATAACAGCAATGTTGAGGCAAAGTGCTCAGACTTTTCATAATGAAGCGTTTCCCGGGTCTGCTGCGAGCACTGGATCAGTAATGCTGCTGTCCAAACCTCTTATCTACGGCGTTTCTGCATCGGAGCTATCGCTTTCAATGCCATCTCACCCTCGACTCCGTGAATAAAGCAGCCTATCCGGTGTTGGCGAGCTGGCTGTGTGAATCCGTCTTTGTCATGCTTCATATCCTTAGGGGACGGAAATACAATATCGCTTTCAATGCCATCTCACCCTCGACGCCGTGAATAAAGCAGCCTATCTGGTGTTGGCGAGCTGGCTATGTGAATTCGTCTTTGTCATGCTTAATATCCTTGGGGGACGGAAATACAGTAGCTGAAACTAGCGTACCTCCACTGAAAAGTCAATAGTTAACGTTGGTTTCTGTCTTCAGTCAATCTGTTTCGCAGAACTACCTCAATGTACTCGCGTGCATAATCGGTCATACCACGCGCCGTTTGCGGCGGCCCTCTAAACTGTCTTAACCTAGAGTAAATTGGAGGGTAGTTTTAAAGCCATCAGCGTGCCAACCGATGACCTGTAATCGTCAAATTATGGGAGAAACTTAACGGTTCAAACCCAGTGTATACAGATCTAACCCGAAATGACCCGCAAGGCGTACCTAGGGAAAACCATTATGACTAACTAAAGGCTAGTTAATCTTTTTCCCTTGGACATCGCGTGTTGTTGGTTTTCGGCTCGGAATTGATCTTTCATAATGACCTCATCATCAGATCTGTCTCTTGTTTATTATTGCCTCAAAATTTTGCTTCTGGAGAGGCACTCACACAATATCCTCTTTTCTACATACCATTTTATCCGAATTCAAAAATTTCCATCGGATGCTCACTTCAGGTATTCAACACGTCGCGAAGAAGCTCGGCGTTGACTGTGCACCAGCTGTCATTGGTTGGACTTTTCATGGAGCTGGATGGGCTGTGCCTCAAGTTCATGGTTACGTGGTATGCAAGGAGAATGTCGCAATACTAGTGGACGCCTGGCGTGCTACTCGCATGAACGCAGCCAAAGCTGCAGCTCAGGAGCGCTCCGAGCGAGCAATAGAAAACTGGAAAAGGCTTGTGCGGGGTTTGTTTTTGTGGCATCGCGTTAAAGCACAGTTCGCGTTGGCTGCTATGCATGAGAAACCGAAAAGTGAGATGAAAGTCATCATGCCTGGAAAGAAGCGAAGATCTAGGAAACCAGAAGACAAGCTGAAACAGGAGGAGAGTGGTGTCGCCGAACCCGTTTCCACAACTGTAACCATTGGTTCAGTCGAGCTGGGTAGCGTCACTGGTCAGCTGGGTTGCACCAGTGGTTGGCAGCGCTTAGGTTGCTCTGCTGAGACGCAGTCATTACCGTTGATTTCCATCAAAAAGGAGTCGTCTGATGAGAAACGACGCAGGCCAGTTGCAACTAAGGGACCGCCGAAACGTGTAAGCACCCAGAAGAAACGGAAAACGAAGGCGGTTGAATCCACCAGCGAGGAATCAAATGACCCTGAGACGTATTCCAGCACAGATACCACGGACGAGGAAGGCTTCTGACAATCATACTGACGGAGGTATGTGGTGTCCTATTTAGTCTCTAAATAATGCTTAGTTGAAATAAACCTCAAAGCACTGTTTGTTGTGAGAACTCGGTATAATTGTCCTGAGAAATGAATGGAGTGGCCGCTGTGGAAGGTCTCTTCAGGTATATGTGTAATATCGCACTAATTTGCCAAGTCAGGATGAACCTTGCAAATATTGAAACAGTTTGCCAATGCAGCTTGCTTTCTCGGTAACTTTCGACTGCGTTCTAATTCATTTGAAATCATTTTTCGGTCATCACCCGTGATATTTAACTTCGTTCCGATGTCCCTAGTCCCCCCATGCATTATTCCCTAAGTTCCCCTCAGTGCACCTGAAAGCGTCATCCTGGTTGCCACGACTCGACGCAACCATGGCAAATACTGGATCCTGGTTCGAAACGTTGGGAAGACCGATCGTATCGCTCGAATCCTGAACGTGTTTACCTGTTCATTCGTGAAAATTCAGGTGCACCCCGTAGGCTGGTGCTAACATGCTCGCCTTGCACGTCCGCTATCTTGAGTTCGAATCCTTGTGCGGTCTGGAATATGTGCCAGTGATGACATCTTTTACGAGAACTGTGAACCATTGTTCTCCTTTCGATGCGAACCCACCGCAGTAATTGACTCAGGAAGGGAGACTTGTTCAAATGAGAGTAATGTGAATAGCACCCAGGAATTTGTTTCTTATTTCAGTATATAACTTTGGTGCGTGCAGGATAACGATCTTGTTCAAAAACGCTTTCAATGAATAGAACGTGGATTAATGAGACATATTTACTGAATAGCGTCATATATTATGGTTCTAATGTATTCTACTCCACATGATACCCCAGATGTAGGTGTTCAAGTTCTTGCTTCCAGCTACACCGACTGTTGAGCTTTGTCACGCGACCCAAAGAGGGGCGACTAGCCTTTTTAACTTCGCGGAAATCACTGTTTCCCTGGGAGTTCGGTGTTCTCTTTAGAGGAGGAAAGTGCTTGTATGGGCCACTTCCTGGAGGAATCTCTCAAGCACTCTTAGCCGGGTCATTACTTGCACACGAGACTTCGCCACAATGTTCTTCGCTTTTGTCACCTGTCCTTTTGGAGAAAAATATGCTTTACGGTTCTGTTACTGACTTCTGTTATTTTCCCAAGCACTTTTGTCCTTCCATCTTATTCTCCTGAGTTTCTGCTGGATTTCTTGGTATTCAGATGATTTCCTACGTGGCTCCTTGCTGTTGTTGTTGAGGTCAGTGAGGAAAGTCATGAGCGAATTTGGACACAGGTGAATTTCTAGCGTCCACAACTTCCCAGAAAGCAACTAGGAATGGGTCTGGTAGAGCACTGTGTCCCGAAATCACAATCGATCGAGTGAAGTCGTACTCTCACAGTGTTCCACGTTCCATTCCTCTTTTTTCTGAATGTTCTGTCCTTGTTACTAGAATCAGTTTCAAGTGTCGCCAACTTCACCCAACGAACCGCTTGGTAACAAAGTCTTTCCAGTGTTTTTGTGTTACTCCTCATTGACAGTATCCAGTTTTATCTTCAGTTACTTATAAAAAATTCTTTTATGAATTTTCTGTCCTACCGTTAGTGGGTGCCTCAACTGCATAGAAATATGCCGCAAAATTACGCTTGAAAATGTATCCCCAAGTACCCCCTCCCAAAAATAGCTTTATTTGAAACGTTCTCAAAGTACACGATCCTGGCATTATATATATATATATTATATGGAGAGAGAGAGAACAACTGTTTTTGTGTTACTCCTCATTGACAGTATCCAGTTTTATCTTCAGTTACTTATAAAAAATTCTTTTATGAATTTTCTGTCCTACCGTTAGTGGGTGCCTCAACTGCATAGAAATATGCCGCAAAATTACGCTTGAAAATGTATCCCCAAGTACCCCCTCCCAAAAATAGCTTTATTTGAAACGTTCTCAAAGTACACGATCCTGGCATTATATATATATATATTATATGGAGAGAGAGAGAGAGAACAACTCACCTCACGCATGCACATTTGAAGTCAATTTCCAAACATAACTGTGTAAGCAGCAGACACTAATGAGGTGGTGTGACACGATGGACTTGATCACCGACAGGATCCGGGAAGTGTATGCCCGACAGAATAACCCACACTGCGCCGCTGACACATGAACAGGGACTCCACTGGTATTCGTTGTTGGTCTTTGATTAGAGGGAGCAGTTACACTGTGACACGTAGAACCAGGAGACCCATGTGGACATCTGTTCTTGTAACCGTTATTTTCCCGCTGGATTCTATCTTACATGCAAGCAGTTTGTATCCACATTGCTGTTGTTCGAACAACTACGCCTCCCAGCTGGACGTGATCATGTTGTTTAGACGGTCAGGTTTCAGATTTCCGTGACGCTATCTCACCGAGCGGTTCTGCTAGACAAGTGGTAGTAATGACGATGCCGTTTGAAGCTTCATGTAAAACCCTGTACGTTTCTCAGGGCTTAACATGTTAGCCTATTGATAAGTCATGTTTCGAGGGTACTCAGCTGGCTCTGTTGAATTTGAGATATTTCGGGTTTCGCAATTCGGTATTTCGCAGTTCGATTCCTTGCTAATGAGACCTAATAAGAGTTAAATCGGAACCCTCAGCAACTATTTTGAAGAAAATCAAATTAGCGAATATACACTCATTTGCAAACTAATTTGTTTTTTTCGAGAGACTCACCTGGAATCCAGCTGAATCTCTCGTTTATGATGTTCTCAGGCAACTGAATGTGGGGCTGTCGACGGATTTTCAGCAACCTTATGAGTAGTACATTACAAAGATAAAACCAAATTAGCTTGAACTGGCTCTTACTGTCTTCCTCTGTTTACAGCTCGCACAGACGGACCTGCATTTTTCAGCTTTCCTACTTCAGAAAACTGATATTTCCTTTCCCGTGTGCATTTTTTCATGGACTTCTTTTTTATACTCAGACATCTTTATCGCAGATTTTATCTACTCATATTTATTTACATTTTCAGTATCATCTTTGGTTTTTCGCATTCATTATCATCACATCACAGTTTCGCAAATAAACTACTACTGTACAATGATTTTTCTGTTTATTCTGGTCGAACGATTGTTGTTCTTTTCTGCCGCTCCGCGGTTTCCCAGGTAGAATTTCTTGTGTATTAGCTGGTATCCTCTCTGATGCCGCTTCAGCACTACTGAAACTTCGGGATCACAATGCTCACGACGGGTTCATCTGTAATCATTGCATAATTGGCTTGTGACATCTCACATAAACCTCCAGGTTTTCAACCGCCTAGGTGTGTCTGCCTGTAGTCCTGGAGAAGCGCCATTCCGACCATGGAACTAATGCACGAGTTTTGAAACTGTCCTGTGAAGTTTCGTTTTGCTTTCTCGCAGAAGCCAAGGCTTGATGTACGTACTGTTGAGATGGATGACGTGCTCTGTCTAGCTGCTTCATCTGCCCATCGGCCGTCAAACGATTTGGCCTACGATTCCCACGGGTGTTCCTGAGATGCGCTCCAGTGATGCCTCTCAAAAGGACTCCAACAACTACCCGGTGCTTGGCCTTTTAGCATAACTATTGATTCCTTACAGAAACCAGAACGGTCAAACTTTATACTCCCTTAGGTCTTTTCGTGTTTATACAGATGTTTTCTATAGAGGAGAATGTCGGTAGCTCAGGTAGCGTAGATGGTCGTTGGCTTGTTCGCTGAGCTGGGCAATTTGGTTGCAAAGGTTTCATCACCAATTGAGGTGACATCATCAGTGCGTAGTTGTGCGTAGCGGTGCGCTACGCCAACTACGCACTGATGATGTCACCTCGATTGGTGATGAAACCTTTGCAACCAAACTGCCCAGCTTATACAGATGTGCTCTCTTTCACGTTCCCTTATTCAGCTCATCTTTTATGCGACGAACAGTTATCTCACATTTATTGATGCCAGTGGAAGTAAGATGGAGTTCAGTTGCGGTGTTATTTGTTAAGCAAATCAATCGCAATTTCTCGGGCACGGAAGCGAAAAATTGTGTCGAATATAGGTCGAGAAATTGGGAATTACTGGATATAATTCCGGACTTTTCTGGCGTCGTTCGAATATTTGACGTCAATGAGTCTACACTTTGGAATAGCCCAAAAATTCTGAACTCAGTCGTTATTGCTTCGAAGTGTAAACGGACCTTGCTGATGGGCTTCAGTTACACCAATTTGATGTCTTTCCCGTTATAACTATGTCGCTGTCGGGGAGAAGATTCCAGTCTCTTATCCATCATGAGCCATATGACCAAGGTCACCACTTATCACCTGCTCCTGGTCATCATATCCAACAAATGTCCAAGATCATTCCACGTCATATCATTCCTTGTTGGCACTTGTCTCTGTAGCCAAGTTCGTGCACACGCTTGAGTATGGAACGTACTTTGAGCCGTGATTTCTTCCGGCGCGTCACACGCCTGCTGACTGCTAGTCTTTTCGGCGTGTTTACTCCCATTGGCGACCATTCACTTGTCTTCCTCTCGTAGTTTGATGGCCTCCATGTACCTTCTCTGTCTTCCATCTACTGTGTATACCGTTTTTTCGTTCCGGAGGCCGCCACACAAACTGTTGTGACTATCACTCGTGGTCCTGTGAATCAAGCTAGAGATTGCTCGGTGGTTAAGTCGCGAAATTACTGTCCAGAAGGTCCGTGGTTCGAACACAATCCCGACGTTTCGTGCTTCCTTTGGGTGGCATGGCAGTTGGGACCGAGATGGTGTTCAGCTGGTGATTATTTTCACTAGTCCTATACATCACAAAAGCTTGCTCTCGTTCATCGTATGTCCGTAATTATGCCGTGTCTGGACTGATTCGTTTTAAAGCCAGACTCTTGGTTCCCACTGCCCCATCCACTGTTTAATAGTCATGTTTTGTGTGACATAATGTACAGTATATGTATAATGGATCGTAGTCCACGACCAGTTTCTCACTGAAGCTCACCCAGTACGCCCTATCCTCTAATATAGCAGTTGTAATTCTTCTGTACTAGTGGCTTTGAAAGAAGGACGTTTTCAATCAGATGGGCGCTATAGGGGACATGAAGTTTGGGGTATGCTGACATCTCGTCCTAATACACTGATCAGGTAATTCTTTGAGTGTTTGTAAGACGTCTTGTGGCCTTATAGGATTAGTGCAACAGGTGGGTCTTCGGTTTTCCATACAACGATTCTCTCCGGTTACCTATTTGTGAACTTGTAATGACGGTGTTCTCTTAAGCTTAGTTTTCGGTTTGAATCTCCCAAGCTAGCAGTCCCGCGAAAAATTAACCACCAAATGCGCACAACATATAATAACGCCTTATGGATGCGCCATTGGCAACCGGCATTCGGTGAGTACTGGGTCATTGGTTGTTGGGTCCAAGCTTTCGACCAATCAGAGCTCGCCTTGATGCCTGACCGGCAAGCTGCCCGAACTTTTGGCCCATCTTGTGCATGGCAGTCTTCTTGACCGTAGATCGTCTAACTGCGAAGGATAAAGCGGCATCTGTGTCCCACATAGCTGGATACTATTTTTTGTGGTTTATTGTCACATCGTACCTTGAAATGCGATTGCTATATGTCCCGTCTGTGTTTCCAACTTGGCTTATTCTTGTGACAACGTTTTGCTGGGGAGAGGGACGCAAAAAATAGCACTGACACTCCATTGCCGGCTCGTGGCTGATCATTTTTTGAGTTCAAGAATTGCTGTCGATCTTTTTATCTTGCTTCTTACTGCTTCTAATGACTCCATCTCATAAGTTTGGTTATTGACAGTATCACCGATCCTACCTACGCAGATCCATTGGTACCGGTGAGCATGGTGGCTCAAGGCCGTATCCTGATAGGTGGACTCGGCCGACTGTGCACAGTTGTATTATTCTTTTCGCCTTTTTTCTGGTGCCAGCTTTTTCATGCTCGTCACTAATGTACTTCGAGAAGTACCTTGGAAAATGTAATGCTGATATTTCACCAGAATGTTGGTGACAAGGTCCAAAACTACCCATGAGAGAGGCGGTAACGCCAGGGCAAGAGTTAAAGCCAACAGGATTGACCACTGTTGCTTCACTAAGCTGTCAGCGGATCTTCAGCAAACCTCACGGTTGACATACGGGGTTCCAGTTATCTTGTGATTGGACCCAACTCAAGACCAGCACGGCTGTTGGCAAACTCGAGACGTGGGTGTGGAGGAACCTGAGCCTGCGAATGGAAACCGTGCTGATTGTCCACATGGTAGTGGTTCTCTGTATCCTATTTTAAGCTGATCATGTAACCGCGCAACTTCTTGTACTGCGTTGCACTGCCTGAGGTATACACATGAACAGTTGAACGAATGACTGCCGGACGCTTAGGTCCTCTAATGGGTGCGCTGTGGTGCAATGGAGGCTATGATCACAATCATGAGAATAGGATTCCGAAGCTGCTTCTTTATGTTCAACTGAATACGAAAAAACGGAATCCTGGTAGATAAAAGCTTCGATATCTGAGTACTTTGATCGACCGGAAGGTTCGTGTTTCGAACCCGACCTCTGCATCTCGACTTCTCTAGTCTAGGCTTGGGCAACCTGGCAGTATCCCAGCCCTCGTGCTCCCTTTGGGTGGCATGACAGCTAAGCACCGTAAGGATGTTATTTGATCGAAAGCTTATAAGCTGCTAACGTGGATCTTATGAAGTGGCCGGGTGGGCGATGCAAAGTGAGACGGTATGGAGGAAAACAATACGGACTGGACCTCGTCCATTCAAAGGTCGCCAGCACCAGAGGGCTGAACCACAGTGACTGGTTGTATTTGTGCGGACTACACTGGATCGGTTGGTCATTAGCGGACTGATAAAGTAAGTTTGCGGGATCCGTCGTGGCTTTTTGAAGTTACTAAACGACTAAAGATGCGATGATGCTAGGTGTCAACGTCCATGGGCATCGCTGTGCAGATCGAAATCTGCATACTGATCAGTGCGATATGCTGAGCTCGCGATCGGGATGGAACTGTCGTTCAGTGATATCATCATGTAGACGGAGTCAAACCGTGGCTGACTTCAGAACGCCGTGTGGATGCATTATGGCAATTCTATTTATTAGTAATGCCGCCCTCAGTCCATCAGAAGTGGAGACCGTTCAGTTTAACTGCTGGACTCTTCCCATCTGTCGGCTAATTCCCCTCATAATATCCTGGATTTTGCGGAGCTTTATGCCTTCAACAGTGCTAGAAGTAACCATCCGTGGTCATCTTTGTACAAGCCTAGTTGAATGGTATATATATATAACACTGACTGGCCATGTATGTTGTCTCCTGATTGATGGCATACAGTTGCTCAGCACTTCCACTTTTGACTATTCCGATGTGGTGCACATGTAGTAAGACTGCTTGCTGTACTGAGTTCCCGTATACAGCAAACTACTTTTGACCGCCCCCATCCTGTCCCTATTATGCGTGGCATTAAATACGTCTACACCCTTTTGCTAGTGAAACTTGAAGCTTCCACGCTGCTACGTGCACTCAGATACGGTTACTTTATGATTTAAATGCACGAGCGATCTTTTGGGTACAACCACCACGGCCTATAAGGCTCCCGAGTAGCTGGACTTGTCTGTCATTTTTTACCGTTGACCCTGGTGTTTCACTTTCTGAACTTTGTAGTCTAACCATATCTCCTTACATCCTTGACAGTCTAAAACTCATGGACAAACAGCAGCCTGTTCTATCATCCCGCAACCAGGCCCGCATCACCCCTGGGGCTGTTGTTTGTTCCGAATGTGAACTCTGTGGTGAAGTTGTGATTGGCGCAGGTACAATTGTTCATCCAAAAGCACGCATCGTCGCTGAGGCTGGTCCCATTCATATCGGTGCTTTCAATCTGATCGAAGAACAAGTTGAGATAATCAACCACACCCCAGATACAGTTTTGAAAATTGGAGACCATAATGTATTCGAGGTAAGGCTGCATCTTTGACCCTGGTTTCTCCTGGGCTTTTGCTTGTATCGTGAAACTCTGATGGCACCCAAGAACATTGTAAGATCCGGGCAGTTACGGATCTCACAGGGCGATTGCGGCTATTTGATTATACGCAGTTCGTAGCCAGTAGTCAATAGGAGCAGACTGACGTGGGGCAGCAGATGATATATTCAGGACTGACGAACTGGTTCTAGACACAAACGGATTAGTAAGCATCATGAATTAAGCAAACGTACAACCACCAATGACGCAATCAGCAGGAGCGGGAAGTAGTCACTGACGCAGCACGGATTTCTATAGGGGCAACAGCAAGTAAGTGCCAAACGGTGTACAGACATACATATAGGGACAGCCTGACAGTGTGAATTGGCCGTAACGGCGCGGGAGTCAGTACGTTCGGGATGTGAGGGACTGTCTTTCGGTCGGCGTCGGCGCAGCCGCTCGTGTCGCGTTGTAGCGTGGGATGTCAGGAAGTCAGCGGTATTCGATGTTCGAGAGGATGTGGCGACGGCACACGTCGGTTCTGAAATGTGCAGATATACGGAGTGGTATTAATGAGTTCACACGGTATACACAGCACACATGCGCAGTCGGGCTGGACAGAAGAGAACACCGGAGCGTGGTAACGACACACGTGTATTCGACCGAAACCGAAACCGGAAGTCGGGGGTGTACAAAGTTGGGTCAAGGTCAGTTAGGGGGGTGTACAACCGGAATACTCTTCCCTGTCCAGGGCCCGACAAGGTTGGGTCAAGGTCAGTTAGGGGGTGTACAACCGGAATACTCTTCCCTGTCCAGGGCCCGTGGTGACTCGTCCGTGGTACCTGCAGTAGGGGAATAGAGGGAGGGAGAGGCACACATAATGTCATATGATAGACATACAATCAGGTACAGTCGGGTTTCAAATGCGTTACACTGCCCCCTCCCGAGTATGAGCACTGTCCTCAGTGCTAAGAAGGGATGTTTGTGTCCGGATGTATTGATCTCAACGGTATGGCTGACAGGTGGGGGATAGGAGGACGTAGACGGCTGGGTGTCAGGGAGAGGTGAAGGGTAGGGCTTTAGCTGATTGTAATGTACACACTGTACATCCGCATGTGACTTAGAATAGTCACGAATGACATAGGTTTTGTTTGGTCTTTTAATAACTATAACATAAGGTCCTTGCCACATGCGATGGAATTTAGCGGGCGCACCCGGTGGTGCTTTCGGCCGGTGTAGGAGCACAAAGTCGCCTACTTCATACAGAGGTCCGCATGATTTGCGGTCGTACACAGTTTTCTGGTGTTGCTGTGCATGCCCAATGTTTTCACGGGCGATTTGTAGTGCTGTAAACAGGCGTTCTCGGAGTGACCGGGTATATTCGTTACTGCCAACCTGGTCTGCAGGGACCACAGGCGTGTCTGCTTCTGAAGGCAGTCGGAGGTCGTGGCCGAGTTGTAAAAACGCCGGTGCGTAACCTGTCGACTCGTGTGTAGCTGCTTGATAGGCCAGCATGCATAGCGGAATGTGTTCGTCCCACCGTTCCCCTTCATAGCGATCCACGAGAGTGGTTGGTATTTTCTTTATGGTCCTATTGGTGCGTTCCACCAGGCCATTCCCCTCTGGATGATACGGTGTTGTCCTCGTTTTATGGATTTCCAGAAATGCACATATTTCTTGCAGTAGGCAGCTCTCAAAGGCTGGGACCTGATCAGAGTAGAGAATGACTAGCACC